GAGCAAACAAAGAAACAAGCCTTGTAACACAATACATTTCCCCCCCTTGTTAGAGTACCTCTTTACTTCCTATCATCCATCATTTCCAACCACAGTCAAATATCTTTAAATTTTCTCTGCAGTCCATGGGCATAGTTCTTTTATTCAGTTAATAGGCCGTTCACTCAGGGAGGATGAAGTGTTATTTCATGATTCGGTGTATTCAATAACGTCAAAGTTTTCTAGCACAGAGTCCTTATTCTAAATATATTTCTCTTCTTGAAAAATCAGTTTAGTGAGCAGTTTCCACAAGAGACCTGTGTAGGACAACAGCAGTTGCTTCTAGGTTTTTCATTTAACCTTACATTGTACAACTTTTGCAGAAAAATACCCCAGGTACATTCTTCATCCATTATTTTTTTAATAACGTCTTTTCTCTTCTGATTTCACACTTTTGCTTGACTCAAGGGGCAGGAGGATAGTCCAGGCTTGCCTTTAGCTTCTGACAGTGAGCTGGAGGGTGAACAACCCCTGAGTAAATGAGCAGAGAAAGAAAGTAAGTAAAGCACTGAACATCTTGCAACTTAGTGAAAATAAAGATCTACCCACTGTGGCCTCACAGTAAAATCTGGCAGGAGTAATGTTATGGACCTGGACATCCCCACAGGTTGAGTCTACAAAGAGAATTAGTCAGAAGATCTGCTACCAGCAGCATGCCCACTTTTTCAAATGTTCAAGACAATGACTCATTGCAAATGAGTAGGAAAAGATGGAATGAAAAATCCCTGCCAATCCCTGTTGAAAGGATGCATACATTTCCATGTTTTCTCAGGTGATGCTTTCCTCGAGCAGGTGACAGGTTACTTGTTGCACATTGAAGAGGACTCCTCTATAAAATGGAGTAAGTTAGGTGGAAATAGGACACAGCCATGTAGAGACATATATCTGACAGTATTTCTTCCACTTTATTTAGTGCAGTATTCTATCACATTGGTTCTGTCTTCAGTGTATTACAGACTTGCACTGTTTCCTAACACATTGTCCCTTTAGAAGGATGTGAGGATTCGCTCTAGTGCATAGAGTTTTCAAAGATGCTCTTCCTCCCCTTCTTCTGACTGTGTGACAAAATACATAGAAGATGGGCACAATGAGTGGAGTTTTGCCTTATTTTTTTGTCCTCAAAACACTATGTCCTATCAATTGAAACCCTGTTATAAAGCAGTGCTCCACAGCCGTTGTTGTATTCTGTTGTGTTGGATGTTTGCTGAGTATGGCAGTTGTTACTGATCTATCTGGGAGCAGAAACATGCTGTAGACTTATTAAACAGAAATTGTTTAACCATGGAAACTCCTGAAACAGAGCCCACACAAACCTTTGCTTTCCTATTCAAAGAATTGTTAACCAGCTTTCCATGTGTTCAAACAAAAGAGGTTCTGCTCTACCTGGGCCCTATGTGAAGGGCCACAGCATTGACTTTGGGCTATACTTACCATTCTTTGAGAAAAAGGGAGAAGTAATATGTAGTGGTTCCATAATAACTATAAAAGAGACCAAGATGATCCCCATTAATTTCTGAATTCTTTTTATCTGGCATGAACCTCCTCAAACAGAACAACCCAAATACATTTGTGTGCACACTGCTCCTCTCCCAGGTGTGTTCTGGCTGTTGGGTACACAAGGCTTGCTCACAGTTGGCCAGTACAGATACCAGCACATGAACAAGGAAAGCAAGTCCCCATGCTGGTCACAGCAATTTCTTCTGTGGGTCTTCTGATTTCAAGAGTCACAGGTGTGTGAGTATCAGTATCTATGGTTAGTTCAAACTGTCAGGGTCTAAGCCTTATTTCATTTTCAGGATGACAAGAGACAAACTGGAGAGAGCAGAAAAGTGCAACTCAGTACCTTTAGGTTGTCCATGCATCCATAGGTAGCATAAAGGTCAAGCTGCATGAAAGACACCTCTTCCCCACCACTTATGTGTAGACATGCAGCCTGAGTTCAGATACTGTATCTTAAATTGTACTTGGGAATGCCAAGGAATAAATAGGGTGTTTAGCTCCTGCTTTCTATCAGCTCATTTCTCTCTCAGAAAATCACTGTGGATGAAAAAACAAAGCAACTTTGCACAGGACTCGCCCTGACTTTCGCTGAAGTTCTATCTGCATATGTGCCAAACAGCTTGAGGAAAATCCTCTCCAAGCTTTCCTGATGTGAGCAGTAGATTCAGCATCTTGACTAGCCTCTGCATTTGGATGATTCTGTTACAGGAAGGCTTTTCTCCTGGCAGAGTTTGAACACACAGTTTCAGTCTCAAGTTCCTGCATCAGCCCGGAAGTAAATTGGGAGAGGTAAGTGAACAAGCATGTCTCTGTGTTTAGAAGAAAAGTATTGTTTTAGGAACTCTCCCAAAAATGTGAAAGGAAACAAAATATAGACAGTTTTCTGTAACTTTTGAGCAGATTGCATGATGAATTTCTGTAGCCAAGAGTAAAAGTTACATTTTTCTCCCAAGATCTTCTACTCGGATATGGTAATGACATTACTGATGAGCAAATTCTATCATTACTTGAATGCTACCCTGTGTGTGTCTCCTTGGGTGGGAAGTAGCAATTCTCACATTTCTACTTTTTCCTCAGATACTTCTCTTTGCAGAAAATCACGTTACTAATCTATCTGCTTGTTAGCCTTTGCTCTTCTTTGGCTGAACCGAAGGAAAAATACATGTGCCTGTGGCAGGCAAGCAACAGAGAAAAAAATCAAAGCATATGAATGAGGTTCCATCACAGCAAGAAATATAAAAAAGTGTTAGATATTGCAATAATGGGCCTAAAGTAATCTTGTAAACTTCAGGGAACCAGACCAGATAATCCAACTTGCCCTTTCTGTCTCTGCTGTCTTCCAATTACTATCTAACATCAGGTTAGACAGAAAATTTCTACTGATGGTGACAGAACTTCCAGCCAGATCTCAAAGGAAGGGGTACAACCAAGTGATTGTAGGATGTAACCCCTTAAAATGATTTATTCATTAAGCGTGTCATCATCTTGGATCACAGTCTTGACCTTAAGCTTGCGCTTATGTTATACTTTAAAATTATTCTCGGTTTGGCTTGGGTTATTGTCCTGACATATGAGTCTAAATCTTAGTGAGTTTGACATGTCGTAGGTTAGGAAAAGTAGTTTAGAAAACCACCCAACTGGTCAAATAAGATTTGGAGGAGGAGTTATTTTTTGCAGCTGCAAATTAGAAATAAATATAAAAATACAACATACTAAAACCCTAATAATGACATAGTGTTGCATAACTAAGTTTCCTTCTCAGATAAGTTCTACAACACCATAAACATATGCCATTGTTAATAACCACTTGCAATAGCAACATCAGGACTTATTTAGTTACAGTGCAATTTCAGTTCCCTTAAATATTTACTCATTTCATGGCTTACTTGGTTAAAATATGATCTTCTATTATGCTCCTTGTTTGATTTCTATTTGGTCTCTAAGCACTTGTTTGATTAGTGGTGGGAATAGTGATCTGTCTTTGATACTGTCTATATGCTCTTTCACCTAACGTCCAGTTTAATGTAGCAGGTTGAAAAACCGGCACCTTGATCTTTACACGTTTCTGTGCCGGTTGTTAAAACAGACTTATAAACCAGGTATCTTCCTAAATTAATTTTATTCTAGACCTTTGCTCACTATTCCATCAGTTTATTTAAATAGAGTTTGAAAAATTCAGCTTACACTGCATGCAAATCCTTCTAAACTGGGCCCTTTATATACATGCATTCCCTTTTATGTGAGCAGTACTTTGCTAATGGTTCAATAATTGAGAGAGTTTACATTTTAAAGACTTCAGTTTTTAATTGGTTGAATATTAATCACAGATCACTTTCAATTCTGTTGTGATGCCCAAATTATTGATGTCTCAGCTGCATTTGTTTTCAGGTATCAGTCTACTCGCATAATGCAAAATAACATTCAGCAATTATTTCAATTAGATGCAGTAAATCTTCAGAGCAAGCTATTTATTCCATTTCTGTAAATGAAGAAAGCAGTTGCTCTTTTCCATTCCCTGATGTTTACTGCCTAGAACTAGCACTTAAAATGGGTATGTATGCAACACGTAAACAGTTTTCTAACTGAATTATGTTAGCATCCACGGTAAAGGACAAGCAGTTGAACTCCCCTTGCAAGATTTCATTTGGTTAACTGACTCTTCTGCCTTGGAAAGAGATGTCACCTTGTTTGGAGGTGTTAGTTACCATTTTAAAGTATATTATGAGAGGTAGAGTAAATAGGAGTTCTTAATTAGCAGAATCTGTTTTGCACAAGTGCATAACATTAGCGAATTATTTTTCATCAGACTGCAGCTGTTACCTAAGCAGAGGAGGAATTTCACCTAAGCACAAAGAATGAGATGCACAAATAACTGTGTTGTCTTAAGAACGGGTCGGGTATGTCTCCTCACAGCGATTTTGTTCCATAATTGCAATTCACATTAAATGCAGCAAATGTTACCATCCTGCCCACTCAGTTTCCACCTCTACTTTTGTTTCAAGAGCGGGGGGGGGAACGACACTCGTCAGTAAAGATGAGGGGAGAGCCCTTTCTTTTCTTCCCTTCCCCCGCGTTGCTCCCTCAGCCGCGCTGCTAAGGGGCGCGCACCCGCCGCTGGGCGGGCGAGCTGGCCCCGTCCCGGCTCTGCCCCGAGCTGCACTTGTAGCTGCTCCGCGCCGCCCATGGCGGCCCCACGGCGCCCGGCACGGCACCGGGGCCCCGCCACTCTCTGCGCCCCGGAGGGCTCCTCCCGCCCCTCCGCGCCCGCTTGAGCTCCGCGGGGGCGCAGCCCGGCATCTCCCTGGGAGAGGTAACAGCTGCGCGACTCCAGGAGTGCGGAGAGGCTTCGGTCGCGATGCGCTGGCATTGCTCCCCCGGAGCGGAGTCTCCTTCCCTTCCAAAGCAGCGCCCGAGCGCTCGGTGCGTGCGTGCATATGTGTGTGCGTGTGGCGAAGGGGAGGGGGCTCTCTGCGTGCAAGGGGTGGGCGAGAGCAGTGCGATGGGAGCGGGTGCCCGTGTGCAGAGGGATCCTCTTCCCGTATGTGTGCTGGGGACCGCGGTGTCGGGGCAGGGCTCAGCGAGGCGGTTGCTGCATGCGGCGGAGCCAGCCGGGGTACTGCAGCGCCGGGCTTAGCCTCGCTCTGCGCCCCGGCGCTCAGCGCGGCCAAGGGTGCTTGCCCGGCTGCCCCCGCCGCTCGGTGCCTGCGCGGAGCTGCCGGACGGGGAACCTCGCTGGGAGAGCGGTGGAGCGCAGCGGAGTGGGGCCGCGGCGACCCCGGCCGCCGAGGTAGGGAAGGTGCCGGGCTCGCCGCGGAGCGCCGCCGGGAGCATCGCCGGGGGCGGCCGGCCGCCCCGCCGGGCGTGTGAGTGCGGGCAGGGGAGCGGGGTGTAGCGGGGCTGCTTTTACGTTGGCGTTTTAATTTATTTTAATTATTCCTAAGGTTTTGTTTTCATTACTGTTATTTAAGGGGGGGGGGGGTGTGATGGTGACGGGGCGACAGTGGCTTCCTGCCGGAGCCTCTCTGCCATCGCGGTCGCCTCTCCCTTCTAGCCGGCCGCCTCCCGGAGCCCCGGGCCAGCGGCACCAGGCGCAACGCTGCCGGCTCCCATCCTTCCCGCAGGCGAGCGGAGGGACTGGGGCCGGGCAACCCGGATAAGCCAGTGGAGGTGTGGGAGGGACAGGGGGGCAGGATCTGCGCAGTGGGGCTGGGGGTGTGTAAATGTGTTGCGGGTTGGACTTTGCAAAGGTGCCCCGGGGGGGGTACACGGGACACGACACGGAGGGAGGGGGACTGGAGGTCTTGGAAGTATTTGGCTGCGGGGACCACGGTTGTGCCTTGTTACAAAGAGGGTGTAAGAGATGCTGGGCTGCATCGCCGCGCTGTGTCCGTTCCTAGCCGGCATGTGTGTGCGGTGTGTGCGCGCCTGTGTCCCTCCTGTCTTCCCCCGCCGGGAGGCAGAGGGCGACGGGGCGCCCACGACAGAGGGGAGCCGGCACCAGCCGAGCCGGTTGCGGCAAATATTGCGGTAGCGCCGGCATTCCTGGCCAGGCAGGGCGACCCGCTGCCAGCCCCGTGCAGGTCCAGCAGCGAGCCCAGTCGGCAGCGGCCGGCGCCCCGGGGCCGAGGAAGAAGAGGGGACTCGAGCGTGGGAGAGGCAGGGACACCGGGGGACGGAGCCCGGGAGGGAGGAGGTGGAGCGCTGGGGACGCGGGGGCATCGCGCTGCCCCTGTGGGCCCGTTCCACGCGGCCAGGGTCGGGAGCCTGCGGGGATCAGCAGCGGCTGCTCCGCTCCCTCTTCTCCCCATGTTCCCGCTCTGCGGCCTCTTTGACCCCTTCAGCTATCCCTTCCCCTCTTCCTCCCTCGCCTCCTCTCAGCTTTCCCTCTCCCTCTTGTCCTTCTGTCCTCCCTTCCTTCCTTCCTCCCTCATCGCTCCTCTGCCCACCCTTCCAGGTCCCCCGGCGCATCCTCCCCTCCCTGCGGCTCCCTCCAGCCTGATTCTCCTCCCTCCAGCTGGCTCTTGCTTTCTCCACTTCCATCCTGGCTCCCTCCTGCCAGCTCAGTGGCTTCCCACAGCAGGAAAGAAATGAAAGGGACAAGTTGGGAAATGGGGGGAATGGGGAAGGTGGGGGAGCAATGTATTGTTTATTGACTGATTTTTATTTTGTTTTCTTTTTTTAAAAAAAGCTACCTTGTAACTCAAAGAAAACGCTGTGGCTCCAGTTATGTGTAAAAAAAAAAAAAAAAAGGCAGCTCAGCTGACCTGTCTATATGTGGAGGGTTCTTGAAAGCCACCTCTGTATCAGTGCAGGGAGAAGAGCAAACTACATCATATTAATTAAACAAAAGAAAAAAGTTCTTAAGTTTCAGTAGTTTTGGGCTGGTGAATTGACTTTGTTTTGCCCTGCAAGTGAGGGTATTGCTGTTATTCCAGGGGATGGAGCTGTATACCTGTGCATGCTTCTTCCATATCTCTGTGCTTCCATTGGTTACCAAGAGCTGATCTTGTTTTGCGGATAGTTCACTGTATTTCTGCAATCAGTTTGACACCAATTTATTTAAACTAGATATAATAAGTGACAGAAACTATGTGTGTGCATGCCTGTGTACCCCTTGAGTGAATCTCGCTTTTATAGTAGTGATAATCTGTATGTGTTGATGCTATAGATACATACATTGAGTACTGACATTGCTTTTTGTGTCTGTGTCTTCATCCTTTCTATATTGTGCTATCTCAACCCAGATGTTTGGGCATGCATAACATCAGCATTTGTGTTTAATATCCCTGAAATGCACGGCAACATATGAGCAGTGCAGGATTGAGGAGAGTAAATATGCATAAAATTGGAATCTCCTTTGGTTATTTTGCTTTGTTAGCTATGCATGCTTGGCATGTACAAGAGAGAGAGAAATATATTTGACAGACCTCAGTGTTATTTGTGTTTGTCTACAGAAATTTATATGCCATATTTGAAATCATTCTAGCTCCTTTGTATTTGGTTGTTAAAATCTTTCATGTTATTTTAAATTCAGTGCTTGTAGTTTATCTATAATCCTTGGCAGGTACAGTAGCTCAGTGGTATACAATTTTTAACCCAAATGATGTTTTGGAACAGTAACAACTGAAAAACGTTTTCTTTTTTTCTTTCCTTCTTTCTTCTTTAGATTCTTTATCTTTGTTCAGGAGCCTAAGGTTGCTTGCTGATCACAAGAAGATGTTTCTGTGGCTCTTTCTGGTTCTGTCATCTCCAGTTTCTTCTACAACTGCAGATGCTGATATATCTGTGGAAATTTGCAATGTTTGCTCCTGTGTGTCAGTTGAGAATGTACTCTATGTCAACTGTGAGAAGGTTGCAGTCTACAGACCAAATCAGCTTAAACCACCATGGTCTAATTTTTACCACCTCAACTTTCAAAACAACCTGCTAATTATTCTATATCCAAATTCCTTTCTTAATTTTACATACGCAGTGTCCTTGCAACTGGGTAATAATAAGTTACAGAACATTGAGGGAGGGGCCTTTATGGGTCTTAGTGCATTAAAACAGTTGCACTTGAACAACAATGAATTAAAGATTCTCCGAGCTGACACTTTCCTTGGCATAGAGAACTTGGAGTATCTCCAAGCTGACTACAATTTAATCAAGTTTATTGAACGGGGAGCCTTCAATAAGCTTCACAAGCTGAAAGTCCTGATTCTTAATGACAATCTGATTTCATTCCTTCCTGATAATATTTTTCGATTTGCTTCTCTAACTCATCTGGATATACGAGGGAATCGAATACAGAAGCTTCCATACATTGGAGTTTTAGAACACATTGGCCGAATTGTTGAATTGCAGCTGGAGGACAACCCCTGGAATTGTACTTGTGATTTGTTGCCTTTGAAAGCGTGGCTGGAGAACATGCCCTATAACATCTACATTGGAGAAGCTATCTGTGAAACACCCAGTGACTTATATGGAAGGCTGCTGAAAGAAACCAACAAGCAAGAGCTGTGCTCCATGGGGACAGGGAGTGATTTTGATGTGCGCATTCTGCCTCCCTCGCAGCTGGAGCCCGGTTACAGCACACCTAATGGCCACACCACTCAAACGTCAGTGCACAGATTAGTCACAAAGCCGCCAAAGACTACAAATCCTTCAAAGATCTCGGGGATAGTAGCAGGCAAAGCACTGTCTAATCGCAATCTCAGTCAAATTGTATCTTTCCAGACCAGGGTGCCTCCTTTAACTCCGTGTCCAGTCCCCTGTGTTTGCAAAACACATCCTTCAGACTTGGGATTAAGTGTAAATTGCCAAGAAAGAAATATAGAATCAATGGCCGAACTCATTCCAAAACCATTAAATGCCAAGAAACTGCATGTAAATGGCAATTATATTAAGGATGTGGACACTGCAGATTTCATGGAGTTCGAGGGGCTGGATTTGCTACATTTAGGCAGCAATCGGATTTCCCTGATCAAAGGAGAAGTTTTCCGCAACCTCACAAATTTACGGAGATTGTATCTCAATGGCAATCAGATAGAGCGTCTGAGCCCAGAAATGTTTGCTGGCCTCCACAACTTACAGTATCTGTATTTGGAATACAATGTTATCAAAGAAATCCTAGCAGGCACCTTTGACTTAATGCCAAATTTGCAGTTGCTCTACTTGAACAACAATCTTCTACGAAGCTTGCCAGCGTACATATTTGCTGGTGCACCCCTTGCTAGACTGAATCTGAGGAACAATCATTTCATGTATTTACCTGTAAGTGGCGTTCTTGATCAGCTGAAATCCCTTACACAAATTGATTTGGAAGGTAATCCATGGGACTGCACTTGTGATTTAGTTGCTTTAAAACTGTGGCTTGAAAAGCTAAATGAAGGTATTGTGGTGAAGGAATTGAAATGTGAAACACCTGTACAGTTTGCAAACATTGAACTTAAGTCTCTGAAAAATGAGATCCTCTGTCCTAAACTTTTAAACAAGCCATCTGCTCTGTTCACTAGTCCAATGCCCGCTATCACTTTCACAACACTACCAGGACCAGTTCGGAGCCCTCCTGGTGGCCCAGTTCCGTTGTCCATCCTAATCTTAAGCATATTAGTTGTGCTTATTTTAACAGTGTTTGTTGCTTTTTGTCTTCTTGTTTTTGTGCTTCGGCGCAACAAAAAACCAACTGTAAAGCATGAAGGGATTGGAAATCAAGAATGCAGTTCTATGCAACTGCAGCTAAGAAAGCACGATCACAAGTCAAACAAAAAGGATGGACTAGGTGCAGAGGCCTTCATTCCTCAGACAATTGAGCAGATGACCAAAAGTCATACCTGTGGCTTAAAAGAGTCTGAAACGGGCTTCACGTTTGCTGACCCACCAGGGCAAAAAGTCATTCTGAGAAATATTAATGACAAGGAGAAAGATTTGTTGCATGCGGATACCAGAAAAAGACTTAGCACAATCGATGAACTGGATGAGTTATTCCCTGGGAGGGATTCCAATGTATTTATTCAAAATTTTCTTGAAAGTAAAAAAGAATACAACAGCATAGGGGTCAGTGGCTTTGAAATACGTTATCCAGAGAAACTACAAGACAAAAAAAACAAGAAATCTCTAATAGGTGGTAATCATAGTAAAATTGTAGTAGAACAAAGAAAAAGTGAATATTTTGAACTAAAAGCTAAACTTCAAGGTTCACCCGACTACCTACAAGTCCTTGAAGAGCAAACAGCTTTGAATAAAATATAGGTCATACAATCTTATCACCTACAGAGGACATTTATTTAATGATGAAAGTGCCTTTTGTTGACTTTTAACTTCCAAATACTATATTATATTGATAGGCATAGAGGCAGGTGTGTCCAAGGGTGTCTTGATTAACTGTAGCTGCATATGAATTGTCAAGTAGAGGAGAATTTCCTAAATAGATTTTACTACATAAAGCTCATGCCCCATGGAATCCTGTAAGGATACTGCAAACTCTATTGCCAAAGGGATGCTTTATACATGTTACCCTGAATTTAACCTCAAGAGGCATATATGTTTTGTACCTTAAATGCAAAACCATCGTCTCCTTGTGATTTGTTAGAACAAACACAAGAAACCTGGTACTGGTATTTGTACCTCAGCTGGGTCCTTCATCCTGCACGTGGATTTAAATTGGTGGAACTGGAGTAATCCCTTGATCTGTGGTGTTGTAATGGCACTGTTTAAAGAATATCTGGAAAGTAACAAGCATGCAAAGAGAGAACATTTGATAGTATGTGTAAATTGGATACATTTATGGCCTGCATTTTGAAACCACTGGAATTATAATGTTAAATTGTGCAAATATTTGTTTTAAATATACCATGCATTACATACCTATGAAATAAATTTGACCACTTGAAGCATACATGTCTATACAAAGAAATTAAAAAGAAAAAAAGAAAGAAATAGTTCAGCCTGACTTCTGCAGTATTTGTGGCATCTGAAGAAAATATTTGATGTTTATGCAGAATCTGTTATAAGACTCATCTCCAATTAAAACTAGAGTTCCTTCTCAGTTACATGAAAAACTTGCAACCCCAACAGGTTGTCCAGAATTGTCAAAGTGCTTACTGTGTGAGCGTAGCAGAAATTATTTTTATAATATAATTCATATTTATGAAATACTTTGTATACTAAATAGGAAAAATATGTACTCCTTAATATGTATTTAATATGCCTGACTTGTTTTCCTGATCACAGTGCATTAATCATTCAGTATAAATAAAACCAGAACAATATAAAAAACAGAAACTGGAGATGTATAGAATTATCCAGAATTAAGTGATCAGATATAATAATAATAAAATTGTTCTGTACTATTCTTGTGAAATTAGCATATTATCTTATTTCAGATTTGTTACCAATGGTGCATTTTAAAATAGATTCATTAGTTTTTTAGTATTGTGTCTCAGGCAGTTATTTGCCATCACTTGTCTTGCTTTTCAGGGTTCTACAGCTTAATCTAAGTAGTTTTCGCTACAAGTATTATCAGGAATTCATGGTAAGGGTAATATTTTAATCGTATATGCATAAGTTTTATGTTCTTACCTGTCTGGCTGCTGTCTGTCAGGAAAAAAATAACTGATCAGACAGTGAACAATATGGCAAACCATGTCTATTTAAAACCACAGTGTAAAGTGAATATAGTGGTCTCAGTTCAGAGTATTATGTAGCTCGTATCTAGAGAGTGAAAACTTGCCCTTGTGAAAGCTGAATCTGAATAGCCAGGGATAAATAGCAGTCAGGACAATGGAAAATCTCCACTGTATCTCACTGATAGATGGCACCTGGAGATGAGAATGAAGGTCTATTGGTAAGGCATCATACAGCAAATCTATACTATGAGATTAACAAAAGTTTTTTGACTTGAAAAGGATTTTTTTTTTCATTTATTTCAATGAGGTTTGGATAAGTACCTCTATCTCCTTTGCTTCCAGACCTTCTCCCCTGCCCCTTTTAAAATCAATACATAAATCAGTTAATATTAGTAGGATACAAATACAAATGCTTTTCATTAATTTGGAGCTAACAAATATTACAACAAGACCTGATAACGATATTGGGGAGAAGGCTGTGTCAGCTATTTCTATTATAAACCTCTAATTTCAGGGCTTTATGATACTGCTGTGAAATTTTTATTCTGGAAGGACACTTGGCAAACAGCCTGCAGTGTATTTTTAGCAAAGTTTACAAAAAAGAAAAAAAAACAAAACCCAAAGCACTGCTTCTTTATTTAAGGAAAAGCAAAACAAAACATCAGTTTTCTATTTTCAGACATTTGTTTATGCTCTTGTAACTTAGAGGGGTTTATTATTTTTCTCCATGCTACAATGGAGTATGTACAATGTCATACTACGTACATGACTTCAACTAATAAAATTATAACAGATAAATTAATGACTGAGTTTCTTTCAAGAAGCTGCTGCTATCAATGTGCAATAAGTGACTTCAGGATGTCATAGGGATTTTCAGGACATGGACACTATGTACATATGCTTTTCTAGCATAAGAAGTTCTTGGTTGACCAATGATGCAATACATATCCAAGGCTTGAATAACTACATTTGAGCTTACTGTGTTAAGAGTTTGTGAATTAAGAAGTGTTACAGATGCACTGACATGATAGACTACAATGGCACCACCAGTAGGTTAAGAATAATGGGTCACTGTGCCTACTCTGCCCGGTGCTGCTTGGCTTTAAGTATGTATCCAGGTTCACTGGGATTTGCCTTGCATAAGGCTTCCAACACACTTCAGTGCATTGTCAGTCTGTCATGTCCCATACCCTTCTCTGCAGAGCCATGTGTTAAAAATATTAGAAATAGCAAATAAGGTAATACTTTTAAGTGATGTTGAAACTGATGTGCTTATGACTTGTGTTGCCCTGAGCTAAAAGATCAATGATAAATGATCATACCTTCCTCAGCTAAAAAAAGGTGTTTGGTTTGTTTTGTGGTGTTTTGTTTCAGGTTTTGCTTGTTTGTTTGTTTTTGTGGTGAGGTCTTTTAATTACTGACCAAAGGAGGAACTGGTATGCTATACCATTACACTGCATCAGATTTTCCTGCTCATTGAGGTCCCAATCCAGTAAAGCATTTAAACTCAATCTAAATCATGTGCGGAGGTACTATTCATGAACTAATCAAACAATATGCCCAAGAGTGGGGCTTAGGTAGAGTTTTTCATTGACTTCAAAAAAAGCTGGTTCAGAGACATTGTATATAATACATAGAGCACAGTGACTTTTGGGATTATGCAGTTGAGTGTAGGTTTGCCAGCATCAATAAAGATTGCACAATCTGGACTTTCCTGTATAAATTGTTCCTGAGTGGTTTACATATATGATGCAATATATAGGCATAATAGTGTGATTGAAGAATGCAGAAGTTGGCAAAACACTCTATTTCTGTGAAATTGTTACTTTGAATGACAACCTTAATGTCCGTTTATCTCCTCCATGTTTTGAAACAGTGTATGTGTCTGCACAGCAGTTTTATTGTAATGTCCATTCAAATCTATAGTCAGTCTATCTGGGAAGGTGACTTTTAGGATGTGGCTTAACAGATCTGTTCATTATATTGGTTTGAGTGGCCATGCTTGTAAAATGGCTGTTAAGACCCATAGACTAAACCAGTGAAGATGTTAACATAATCTGTTTTCTTCATTGTATTATAAAGAAGTTTCCATTTTTAAATAAAATCAATAAAGTGTAATCGTTTCCCTGAAAAAGAAAATATTTGTGCAACTTTATCAGAAAGGAACTACCATGGTGCAAGAACACAAGACCATTAAACAATTTACGTTTTGCATTTACTGTTCAAGATTGACAATAATATAGAAATCTAGGATAAAAATCTTAAATAAGATGATTTTTTTGAAAGACATAATAATATAAATTATAAAAGGCATGGCCTTGTGAACAATGTTAACAAATGTTTCAGAGTTAATGAAACACATCCAGAACTTGATAATATCTATAATATCTTTTGCATGATTTGTACATTGGTATTGTATGAAATGAGCACAGTGAGATTTTATTTTTTTTTTTTTGGTTGCATCCAAAGAGTTAGGAAGGAAATAACAAGAGGAATGTATTTATAATCACCCTATTTTGAAATAAAGAAAACAAAATGTATTGGTTTTACCCTGTTTCAATCATTACTATTCTAGGTTAGTTTATGACTAAGATAGTTATAACATCCAGTCCAATGTAAAACACAGAAAACCATTGTTTATGAATTTTGTTTGCCTTCAGCAACATCAAAACGTTAACCAGCATTGACTTAAAAAGTTGTATGCAATGTTAATAAAATTGTTTGGTACTATTGTATTTCTGAAACTAGACTTTGCTAAGTGCCTGTAATACTCTTTTTTGGATCATTTCTATATGGATGAAAGGGAATCTGTAAAATTTTAAACATTAATGTTTTCCAATCACCTTGACAATTTAATTTTTATGAAGGTTTTTCCCCATCTTCTGTTGTCTAAAAAATCCTCCTTGCCTCTGCTATACAAGTACACCCTCCAAAGGCAGTGAAATTTTATTGCATTAGTAACATAAGCATAATTTAGTTTTTAGTTGGATTCTGAGATCTTAAACACTGAAGTTCAGAGAGGAACAATAACGTAATGCTAGGGGCATTTGTTTTGATTTGGCTCCGTTCTCATTAATCATTTTGAATAAGACAATTTTTCAGAGGAAAGGGAAGTTAGTTTATCCTTAGCAAAAATAAAAATACCAATCTGTGTATCATTTCAATTGGTTAGGGTAGTTTTATAAATGAAAGTTGAAAAGATGTCTTTAGGTAATTTTAACTTCCAGATTTAGATTTTGTAGTAAAAATGTTTTACAAAGATTCTTAAAAATCTCCATGGGAGGGGAGAAAAGCAGGAACAGAATTACATCTAGATTAAACATTCCCTGTAGTGGAGGAGTTAACATGCATTATAGTGGTGGTGAATGAGAATTAGAATGTGATACGGACTAGAAAATCAGGACTTGATACGGGTTTTTTTTTTACTGCCAGTTGCAGTGTAACTTCAGAAGCAAACCTACAGCATTAATTGAAAAAGGCCTATGTATATATTCATAAAATTTCTTTCTATAGAAAAACTCGAGAATCAAGCATAAGTACTCATGTTTTGAAAACAATCTGCATGCACTGATTTCCTGAACGTAGACGAAATTGGCAGTTTTATGTTAATATGTTTTTTCATTATTTAGTCTTTATATCTTACTGCAATTCATTCATCCTTATGTATTCTGATTGTTGCTGTGCTGAAAAATAAAAATAGGAATTTTAAAGCTCAGGGACAAACTCATCCCAGAAGTTTACCGGTGTAAATCTAGACTAACTCAACAAACTTCAATGGAATCAAATCAGCCTTACCTTAGTGAACACAAAAGTAGAAATTTACCATATTAGATGAGGAGCTGATCTATATGTCATTGAAATAAAAAATAAGGATTTTTTTTACTTGAAATAAAATACAATCTTGTGGTTTGCTCAGTTGTTTTGTGTGGTAAAGCTATTAGTAGTTTGAAATAATCATAGGGTAGAATATAGAGTAGATGCAGTTCTGCGTTCTTTTGGTGTCAGTGGAACTCTGCAAGGATTCAAGAGCTGTGGGCATCTTGTAGATGTACTGTAGATACAAAAAATTTGCTGGTTTAATATATAGACTTGACATCTATATGGCAAAATGAAAATGCTATCTTAACAATACAATTTATTTTCTCCCTGTAATGGAACAAACTTACCATGCTCTTCTTTCTCATTAAGTAGAGACTTTATTGCAACTATCTTTATTTTATTGTTAGTTACATTCACGTTCATTAATAGTATGAGATTATTTATTTATTTATTTATTGTCTGAAAACAGTTTATTTGGGGAAGTCTGTTAGTTTTAAAATCCTGGTCACTAGTAACAAACTGATGCTGTATTACGTTGATTTTTCATTCTCTTGCTGTGAATTTTAATAGTCTAAATAATTTTTTAAAAGCATAAATAAGAGTTAAGAAAATGACACTTGGCTGGTACTAAATTTGAAATTGTTTGTATATGTGTATGTAAAGGCTTAAAATGCTGTAAATCAACTCTGATGGGTATACAAATGTTACATCATTGTCCCTTTGGTCTTTGTTTAACCAGAAATCAAAAGGTGATCTCTGTATAGTTTAGCAGTCATTTTGCATATGTACAGTAACAAAGAAGTCTTCCTCAGTTTCCCTCATCCACGAGCATTTAATTTCTTGATTTAATGTAATTTCCTAGAAATGTGTGCACTATGACCTTCCAGGCCATCCTTCCACTTGGTGCTGTCACTTCATCTTCAGTGTGCCCAGTCCCTTACAGCTGAATGTTTGTCTAGACCTTGATTAATAGCAGTTTCCAAAGAGGTGAAGTAGGATTTGTCAATTTGCAAAAAGCCTGTATGCTATAAAAGGAAAATTGAAGACGACTGTCCTGGATGGTTTCTGAGCCATGTCAGATGATGTATGATCCAAAACAGAGAGGAATAAGAAATGGTTTAAGCTTCTGTTAGGAAGATTCACGCTGGGCTTTTGAAGCAGGATAGTCATGGCTTTTCACGACTGTAAGGCGTATGGTGTGAAGTAAATGCTATTCAGTCAATTCAATCCTGACAGTCAGAGTGTGGGCTAAATCCTGCAGACATTTACACCCACTTAACATAAGCTAGGTTTTAGTGTCACTATTCACTGAAGAGACTTGGACAAATTATTTAGGTTAAACCAGATTTGATGCGTATTTCTTAATGAGCCTTCTAACTTAGATGCGGACACATTTGTGTGTACATTGGGTGCTGTTTGTGTACAGAGGTTAGTCCCTTCCAAATGTTTGTTGATCAGTTTATTGAGAGTCTCTTTGTGAGATACATTAATGCTCACATCTCAATAGGAGATGCTGCACAGTAAGGACCTCTCATTGAGCAAGTCACAAAGGGCAGAGTGTTTTGACAGATTTTGAGCTCTTCACTGCAAGAAACTACAGGAAACAGTGTACCATACAGCAGATTTCATTGTTCCCTGGCAGGATTTGATAGACTGTGTGAGTCCGTCTCAGCAGGGTGTTCTTCTTGTCTACACATTGCAAATAAGACTGCAGGTCACCAGTCTGGTATATGTACAGTCTGTGTTTGCTTATACTCAAAAATAGTTTTGTGGAGAAGGGTGGGAGAAGAACCTTTTTTTTTTTCTGAAAAGCAAAATGATATGAATTTGAATTTTTCAGGATTAATACAAATATTTTAAAGAATGGTCACATTGTTGGGTAATATCTGTACTTATATTTTACTAAGAGAGAGAAAGCAAGCAGTTGGTTTTATATTTTTAGCATCCAGTTTTTCAACTCGTTCCATTCTTGGGTTAGAATATGCCTTGGGAGACAAGGGACTCACATGTGCAGCTCAGGACACAATTTAGCTGCAAAGATACATCCTAAATGTCTTGCTACCTTTTGTGTAGTAGAAATTAAATGCAAGGTTTTGAATGTTCTCTCTCTGTCTGCTTTAATGGAAATTAGATCAGTGTTCTTCAGGACCAGTCTGTATGTTCCTGTTAAGGTGTGTCTGCAATTTGATGAAGTTAGCAACAAGAGTACAATTGTCATACAAGGCATAATGTCTTTGGATGGGGTTGACACTCTGAAATAATTGGGGTTCTTACAGTTCATTTCTTAAATATTGGCATATTGTTGCACTGCTTATCCTCATGAAGATCTTAGTTTTGGGATCAGTTCAGTAAATCAGTAGTTTTACAGATGTGATCAGGAGATTGTGACTTAATGTCCAGCAAAAAACATTGCTTTGAATTCTCATGGTTTTCTAAGATGTAAATAAAGAACAGAAACATCATGAATAACTTATATTTAAGATTTCTTTTTGTTCAATGATAGTTACTTTTGGCTTAACTGAGTAAAATGTTCAGAAAGTACTTTGAGAGAATTAGGATACTGCCAACAAATAAGGTCCCTATTCTGTAATCCTTTCTCGAGAATATAAGCTACGGAAGCACTAAGAGGTTTTATCTTTTAAGTAGCTTCCCCTAGAATTTGGAGTTTCACTGTTGGAGTGATGCCATGAATATGGTTTTATGATTTTGTTGCAATAGTCACACAGTAACTAGCAGAAGTAATGGTCAGCAACAACAGCAGTATGACACATTCTCTCTGTGTAGCTTTGTCAAGTAATTTATACCACTTCAGCATATGACAGCAATGATAGCAAGGATTACATATTGTAAAGTGTGTTGGAAAGGATTCCCTTACATTTGTAATGTGCTTTCAAAGTGAAAGCAATAGGCAAATGATGAGTATTATCAGCATACAATCCATTTCAAAAAGGGAAATACCATTGTACTGTATATAGCACTCTATTGTTCAGATTGAGAAATATCAGCAAAAGTGAATAAGCTGGGTTTTTTCTGTCTGCAGATTTTTCTCCTTCAACCATTAAATAGACCTGTTTTCTCTATACAGAACAATACAGCTCTGAGCCATATACAAAAAAAAATATACAAGCCTAAAAAAGACAAGCAAAGAGAACATCTGCATTATAATAATAAAATTACTCATATTTTTCAATAACATTGTCACCTCTGGCAATTTTTGCTTATGCTAGCAAGTTGTGGGACTGAGATGTAGAACTGGAGTCAGCTCCTATTTTCTTTCTCCACATAAATAATCCCTTTGACATTGCACATGCACGAGGTCAGTTTGCCTAGTGTCTTTGTGTACCATATAGGGTTGGAGCAGCAATGTGTATTCATACCTACTTACACAGGTATTTGCCATGGGCCTCACAAGCAAGATGTCCCTAGAGACAGCAGAAGCATAGCAGTGACCTATACTAAAGAGTCTTCTGTATCCTCTGGACCAGACCCTGTGGCGTTACCCCGAATGCTCATGGCTTTAGACAAGGAGCAAGGTTGTATGAGGGCTCAGTAACATCCTCAGTTTGACACTGAAGGGAAGCAAATAAATGGGAGCAGAACAGCTCTGTAGAATGTAAGACTCTTCCTTTGACTGCTATTTCAACATAAGGGTTAGTTCATTTTGCAACAGGAAAAGCGAGCCTGGAAGAGCTTGTTTGACCAAATGTGTTGTCCTCCACTGCACAGCTAGACCAGATTCTCTGTCAAATTTGTGGACATGTATGTTTTTTCCTGTCTGTAAACTGTATAGTCAGACTTGCATTAACAACTTTCAATGCATTTGTAAGGTACTACCCATAATGCATGGTCACATGCAAAATTGTCATCTCCATATGGTATTGTTAAATGGCAGTAGATGGGAACAGCTATTTTTGAC